AAAATGCAAAACTTCTTTAGTTCAAGTAATCCATGTTAGAAAATAATAACAATTCTCACACACCGGACTATTTACTCGTGAAGCACTGTCAATCAACTGATATCACATTACAACTTCATCAAGTATTAATTTTAGGTTCAAAAAAAAAAAAAAGAGAGAGTGACACAAACAACATCATTAATAAATATTGGTACCATTACTATATCATTTCTTAGTTAAATAGTTATAATTAATGAACAAAGTGTGCATTATTATTTACAATTAATCCTAATTATAGTTAATATGTATTTAATAAAAAAAAACATTTATAGGTTATTCTTATACTCTGTTTAAAGTTATTATAAAAAAAAAAAAATTATTTCATTAATAACTTATGTATTAATCGATGTGTATTTTTAATTTATTATTGTATAAACTAAGGGTAACATCTCTGAATGGAATTTATTTTAAATTTCCGTTATTTGAGGCTACTTAATAATTTTTCAGAAATGATTCCAGAAAATTGAAATTTATTTAATATTTTGTAAAATTTTTTATAGAAAAATATTATATCTCCAAAAAAAAGTCTCTTTTTACTAAGAGTTTAACTATTGGATAAAATATCTTTTTTTTTCTAAAATTAATATTGAAAGTAATTAGGCAAGACTTAGGTTTGAACAAAACATATTCCGACTCATATAGCCAAATGGAGAAATATCTTCAAGAAAAAGTACCTTTTGATACGTTTGAAGAATTATTGTCTCGAGGACACAGTAAAAATCTTTTTATATATTTTAATTTATAGATATATATTATATCATATTATAAATATTATATTTAAATCTCAAAATAAAATTATAACGTAGATAAAACTAATTCGTATTTTTCGGAGAATATTCAGAAAAATAATTAAATATTTTTTTTGAAACTCGTATTAATGAATATAGGAAGAATATAATACATAATACTAGCTTTTAAGTCGAATGAAAATATTAAAATATTATGTTAAATTTATAAATAAATAAATAAATTCGTTTATACATTGCTGAAATTTAGAAAAAATTGAAAAGATATAATTTTAATGTATGCAATCAGTGAAATCACTACTTTGCAATTAAACACTAAGCTTCGATATTTAGTCGTTCAGAATGTTATGAAAAAGTCTAAATCTATTCCTCATGATATATGATGAACCGTTTCCTTTTATGGATATGTCTTCCACAGTATTTAAAAGAACGACATTTCGAAGGCTCAGTAAGTAAAACATTCTATTTATTAGTAGTTAAACATGTTTTACCATATATTAATTTGACTGGATCGGCCATAATAAATATTTTCATAAAATAATATACTTCTATACTAAAAATTCAAAATTTCAGAAGAACTTATTGACAACTTCTTTTATAATAAAGGTATAATCTTCTAAACTATTTTTACAAATAAGGATGGACTGAGAGATATTCAACCTACTTTATTGTAATAAAATAATAATTATCTTCTACTACATAAATAATAGTACTTCAAAAGGTTTTTAGCTATGTCCTTTAAGACATTNCTTCAAAAGGTTTTTAGCTATGTCCTTTAAGACATTGGAAGATTATCATGAAAACCGTATACTTTGGAAATTTTAAAATATTTAAAAAGTTATCTATGAATTTTAGTGAAACATCTTCATTAACAAAACAACAAGCTTGTTGATTTTTATTAGTATTTGATTGGTTGTACAATTCACAATCAGAACTATTTGATAAAGAGACATCTAAAAATAATATTAAACAATTAAATAAGTTTTAATATTTATTTCTACTTAATTTAATGAAAAACAATGTTCCATAAAATTTAGATTATTCTAGTTAGTATGTAGTAGAATTATATAGGATAATTAAAGGTATTTAAAATAATGTTAAAAAAACTGTTTATAATACAATGAAAAAAAAAATTATATTATTTTTAATGTAATAAATACTAACAATTTATATTATTCTTAATCATTGTTATTAGTGTTTTACATCCACTCTTATAAGCTATGGTTTTATAAGAGAACACAAGGAAATCTACATAGCCCAGCCACAACAAAATTGCACACTGTTACTTATACACAAAGACACAATTTGTTACTGACAGGATTAAGTAATCCACCGTATATTATTATCATCATTACTTATTAAGACTGTAATATGCCTACAAGATAAAATTTCTTCTCAATTGAATTTTACTATTGTTCTAAGTAATTAATTTATTCCATTGAACTAATTTTAAATAAAATAATACATTTTGGTTACCATTCTAAATCTTACCACTTAAGAAAATAGCAGGTTGTTGTCCAATTTTAAGTCCATTAGATTCATTCTAAATGTTTTCAACCAAATCTTTTATTTCTAGTTAAAAATAAAAAAAAATTATTCATGTGAATCAAATATTAAGAATTTTGATTTTCATACAATTACTCAGAGCTTTTTAATACACCATAATACTATTATTAATCGAGGAGATTACAATGATCAGATTTTATTTTTTATTTAATTGTTTAAAATCATGTGCATAGCTATCATGATCTCTTTTTGATGGGTTAGGAAATATGGACATTTTAAATTCTACAAAATAAATTTTACATAATATAATTTGTATATTTAGTGCTATAGTACAAAATAATGTTAGAACTAACTTAAAACATAGAGTACTAAATACTAAATTTATTAAAACATTAAGATAATTTAGATATATTGTCCTAACACAGAACAGAACAGTAAGATGTAATGTGTACAAAGATGAAGATGAGGATGTGGTGCCTGCTGTCTAGGTAATCACGTGCGTGTTATTGTAGAGCAGTCACCGTGCTCAGCTGACACTCTGGGTGTCGAAAAGCTGTTGTTATTACAATATATTAAGCCATACATTTTATGAATTTAGAAATATAGTGAAACAAATATATGAGAAGGTTGACAACAGCAAAGTAACATAGCAAATTATTAAGTGAATTATTTAAATATCTTTTTTCCTAGCAACGTTTCAATTATATACTTATTATCACTGTAGCAATCACTATAGTTGTAATTCTATTTTAAAAGCAATATTAAAAGGAGCTTACATATATGTAAAGATAAATTTTTATAAAAATGTTATAAGAGATATATAGACCAAATTATTAAATGTGGAAGATTTTTGAGGAGATAGGAACGATTATTGAAATAGAAAAGTATTATGAGATAGTAAAGAACAAAAAAGAGGGAAAAGAGGTTGCAAGGGTTAACATAGAAGATTCTAATGAGCCAAGTAATCCTGAAATTGGTATTGATGTGGATAAACCAGAATCTGTTGTACCATTGAGTGTAAATATGAAACTAATAAGAATTATTAACAAACCTGTTAAATTTAAGTACTTTGGGTGATTTTGTTATTATGTATTTTTAATATGTTATTTATTTTGTCTTACTTATCTTAATTAATTTAAGTTTACTAATTTTTATGAAGATTATTATGAAAATATTTTGAGTTTCCAGAATTTAAAATTAATTTTTATGTTAAATGCAATTAGTATATTTTAAATTATTTTCTTACTTAGGGTAGAAAAGTGTGATATACATTATCTCAAGTGTATTATAATATCATTCGCACTTAACGTTAACATAAAGGGTTATGTTTATTTTGCTATGTACTTAAAACAGTGATTCTGACAGTTCAATGAATAACATTTGACAGATTAATAAATAAATTTAATAAGCAGTCAAATTTTATTTATTTACTTTTACACTGCTCGAATATTACATACTAGATACCATGAGCATGAGATTATAATGGACTTTAATATCAATACTCACTAAAACTTTAATAAATTTTAAGTTACTTTAATTAATAGACAATAGTTCATTTAATGATAGAGTAGATATATCTAGAATTATTTTGACTCTAATATGACGAGTTTCTTTTTGAGTTTGATTGTCATGAGTGATAACATAAGATAGGTTTTACTGTGTTAACTTTTTCTATTCCTCTAATATAAGAATCTAAAGAGAATTATAAAAATATTTCAAATAGTAATAATTTTCTTAACATCAATGTACTTTTTACTAACAAGTTGATCCAATTAATTTGATAATAACCATTAATTTGCATAAAGACCATGATACTATCATTTTTTACCGCTTGATTAAACTCTATAACATTCTTGATGTGACTGGGATACTGCATTGAAGTTTGTTTCTCACAAGGACTCCATATTTACATGGAATCATTGGCACTCCAACTTTGAAATCAGCAATAATGTATTTACTATAAATTCAATAAAAAATATATTAAGCAAATATTAAAAACATATGTAAAGTTTTTAATAAGACTGCAATTATTTTTACCATATTAAAATTGGTTGAATAAAAATACCATTGAGTTAAACAATGATTTTTAGTAAAGAAATATCTCGAAATGTATAACTGGCTAACGGTTGTTTGCTATTTTTGGGAAGTATCCAAAAATCATATATCATTAACTTAATGGCGATTATACAAAATCAAAATATTTAATAAAGATAGATTACATTTTGGGTGATAAGAATGAGATTTATCATCTTATCACAGTAACGTAAATATTGAGTATTTCTATTATTGACATCACCGTTTTATGTTATATCAAAATAAGAGAAAACTGTTTATTACTGGACATAATCGTTATTTTTGTAATTTAATATCATATAATATATATTTATTAATTTTATTATTCATTGACACTCGTGAGTAATTAAACAACTTTACTTAAAGACTATTTAAAAAATTATTATCATGTAAGTTCTCATACGTTCTCAATGTAAAATTTTGTGTATGTTAACTATNAAAATTATTATCATGTAAGTTCTCATACGTTCTCCATGTAAAATTTTGTGTATGTTAACTATTAATTTAATTGTGAATATATTTAGTTTTTATTAACCTAAAATGCTTTTATCATTGATGAAATAATCATATACCCAACAATTATTAAAAGAACAATTTAATAGAAGACTTGGAGAGGTTAAAGTAATACTTTTTTCATTATAGTAATTACCACATAAATAATTAATCTTATTGAAATTGAGTAGTCTTAACTTCTGCATAATTTAATATGTAAAGTATGCATCTTTGAAGAATACAAATTTTTTTGAGAAGTCTATTATTAAAATTTTAAAAATAAATTAAAATACAGATATTTATTTATTTTTTAAGTTTCAGGAAGATACAAATCATATATTTAATCTTGGTTAACGGGAAATAGATAATGTTAATTTACCAGGCACTTCAAAAAATTAGAAAATTTAGATTTTCAACTAGCATGTATTATGTATTAATACCTTAGTGGCTTAATTACAGGAATAGTTAAGGGAGTTTAATTTATTTCAAATGTTTTAGAAATATTATAATACTGTATAATTACTAAGTACATTAACATAACTCTTACATGAATTCTATTGTATATTAATCAAAGTACCATTAAAATAATTGAAAAAATAATTTTTAAATGGTAGTGTAGTGTATAAAAACAACTCTAATATTGTATAAAACTCACAGTGCCTAATATTTGATTTGCATGGATAATTTTGTATTTTTAACTAGTAATAAAAAATTTGGTTGAAAACACCTAGAATGAATCTAATGGATTTGGAATTGGACAACAACCAGCTTTTTTCAAAAGTGGTAAGACTTATGTGGTAACCAAAATAAATTAATTTTAATTGAATATCTTTAGGATTTATCCATGTTTGTAGTTGAGTTCTAACCTTTCGGACTCATCTATCAATGAATCTCATCAATCTATGAAAGTTTTAACACATTCATAAAATTAATTTTATTTAAAATTAGTTCAATGGAATAAATTAATCACTTAGAGCAATATTATAAAACATTAGAGAAGAAATTTTATATTACTTGTAGGCATATTACTGTCTTAATTAGTAATTTAATTAATAAAAAAATAAGGACTCTGAATAAAAAAAAAAATTTAATTAAATCGCTAATATTAATAATAAGTAAATCTGATAATTTAATGATTTTTTTTTATTTATATTTTGCCAAGTCAAAATTATTTTTTTATTGTTTATATTTTTATATTATTTATTATTTATATTTTTTTGTAACAATTAATGTTCTTAGATAGACAAAAACACTACCCTTAGGGTATCATTTTAATTCTCTTGGGGTAATCAAACAATTTTAGGGGATGGCGCTAGAATTTTAAAAGTTCATAATTAACGGCCACTCTAACTGACACTAAATAGTATCTCCCAGATCTACTAAGGTAATGCTGTCATTTTTAGTAGCTAATAAATAAATATCACAAATATTTTACTGTTTAAGATATTTTATTTATTTTTTGCAGATTATTAATTAAAAGTAACAAAAATTTCATAAGTAGGCAGCTAGGAGACACCAATTCAATGCTTATAAAAGAGTACTGAACAGAACAGTAAATGACTGACTGAAGAGACTTCCATTCTACTAGAGGAATACTGTCAATTTTAGTAGCTAATAAATATTAAAAATATTTAACAATTCTATTTATAAAAATTTATTATTTTATATATATTTAATTGTAATGATTGATAATAAAAAATAAATTCTGTTCTTTCATATTTACTAATGACCAATGTATTGTAAAACAAATTATAAATTATATTTAATATGTTAAAATTTTCAGAATACCTAGACATATTTTATTATTATTAAATTATTACTTTGTATAGTATTCCAAAAAAAAAAAGACGCACCTACATTTTATTATAATACATGTTATACTAATGGGAGTAAACCTATAATTTAATAAATTTTCAATTTCAAATACTAGATTTTTTTTATTTATTACAAATGGTATAAAATATAAATTCTGTACACTCATATTTAATAAGCTTATTATATTTTGTAAAATAAAATACAAATCATATTTAGAGTGCATATAAGTCATAATACCCAAATATTTTCTATTATTATTAAATGAGATTACACTTTTATAATTTATTAAATGATTACTTGATAATAAAACAAAATAAAAGACAGCCTTGCTATTGAAAGTAAACTAAAAATGTAAAGAATTCAAATTTTATATCTTATATTCTAAATTTTTTTAAATAACATAGATTATTTTATTTGCTAATAAATATTTCAGACTTAATTCTGTTCTTAAAATATAATTAAGTTAAATTAAAAAAATTATTATTGAATAATTGCAGCTTATTATTTAAAAGCAAAAATTTTAATTAAACCTACTTCCAAAAAAAATTTAAAAACTTTGAATAGAAAATAATATAAAAAGAAATTTTAGCGATTTGAGTATATTTACATTTGTGCAATCAACAATTTAAATAATAATAAAACAGAATAATTTAAAGTAGTTTTAAATACAGATAAAAAATGTAACATAAAACAAAATTTAATTTATTTTATACAAAAAAAAAAATACTGTATGTTTTACAATAAAATGTATAACACAATGTATTAAACATTATTTTTTATTAAATCATGTCGTCCGACAGCAAACTGGCGAAAATAAAAGAGTTATAAGATATTTATATATATAATATATATATAAGTATTTGAAGGCGGACCTACGGCACAAAAAACAGTTTTTAGGGCCCATTCCGGAAACGATTTACAATGACCTCAATAAAATAGTAAGAGTTATCACGTGAATCAAAAATGTGATAAGTGTAATAATCGACGAGAAGGATTGTTAACACAATTTTGGAAATTAGAAACGATAGAAAAGGAATACCCTTATACTGTTAAAGAAAAGAAATATTTGAAGGCACCGTGACTTGGGACACGACTGGTCGATTTGTCGTACATTTACCGTTTCGAAGTTGGGCTAATAATCTCGGGCAGTCTTTTCATATTGAAAAAAGGCGTTGGTTATCGATGGAAAAGAAATTAAGTCGTGACACGGCGTTAAAAAGAGTATACGTAAAATTTCTTTTGGAATACGCTAGCTTGGGTCACATGAAAGAGGTAAGCATAACAGATGAAGAAGATAAGAGCGCGGGTTGTCATTTACTACATCATGTTGTTTACAATGATAATAGTGTTACTACAAAGATGGAATCGGGCTTGAGTTTAAATGACGCGTTATTAAGAACACAACTGTCCTTCAAGAAGAATTGATAGATATACTGACTAGATTTCGTACTCACCAATACGTCATTACTGCCGATATAGTTAAAAAGAACAGACAAATAATAGGATTGAAATAGAGAGGAAATTAATCAAAGGCTAGAGGTGTGTAGATCAGCATTTGAAGAAAAGATTTTAAGAATAAGTAGGAGTATATAGAGTACGAGTTTGATAAAGGAGAACACGAGGTAGGTGAAATAAGGAGACCAGTGACAATAGGCGAGGACGTAATTGGAGAGGTGGAAAGTTTTAAGTATTTAGGATCAGTTGTGCAAAAGAGCGGTGGTATTGACGAGGATGTAAGACACAGATTTAAGTGCAGGTGGTTGAAGTGGAGAGATGCGTCTGGTGTCCTATGTGATAAANGGAGAGATGCGTCTGGTGTCCTATGCGATAAAAGAATTCCTATGAGACTGAAAGGTAAATTTTACTAGACTGTAGTGAGACCAGCTATAATGTATGGTTCAGAATGTTATATTAAAATAAAAATAAACTCTTTATTGTTGGTGACGCGTTCGTTATTTTAATAATTTATTTATTAGTAGTTTTACAATTTTTCATGAAGACTATTTAAAAAATGATCATCTAAGTATACAAATATGTTCTCCGTGTAAAATTTTGAGTATATTAACCATCAATTTAATTGAGAAAATATTTCGTTTTTATATGTCTAAAAATCTTTTTTCATAGATGACATAGACACATAGATAACAATTATTAAATTAATAGAACGCTCGCAGAAATTAAAGTAATACTTTTTTTTCATTAAAATAATTATCACAGGTAAAAAATTTATCTTATTATAATTAAACTCTCTCAAATTCTGATTGTATAATTAAATATGTAAAGCATTTTGAAGAAAACTAATATTTTTAAGAAGCCTCTAAACTTTTAAAAATAAATTGAAATAAAGATTAATTTATTTTTAAAGTTTCAAGGAAGTAAAAATCGTATTTTAACCTTAGTTAAATTGATAAAGACAATGTAATTTTACCAGGCATTTCAAATGAAAATGAAAATTTAGATTTTCAACAAATATGTTTTATTATACTACTAACTTGGTGGCTTAAGTTAAGGGATATAGTTTTTTTCAGATCTTATTATAAAAATATTATATAATTCTGTATAATGATATAAACTATACAATTAATTATTACATTGGCGTAATACTTACTTGAAGTCTATTGTATATTTATCAAAGTTCCATTTAAATAGTTGAAAAATAATATTAACAATGGGTAGTGTAGTATATAAAAACAACTCTGAGTAATTTAAAAGAAAATCACAATTCCTAATATCTGATTCGTATGAATAATTTTTTTTATTTTTAACTAGTTGAATGAAATGAAAAATTTGGTTGAAGACAACTTTGAATGAATTTAATGGTCTTGAAATTGGATAAAAACCTGCCATTTGCATAAGTGGTAAGAGTTATAATGGCAACAAAAATATATTAATTTTATTTAAAATTAGTTACAGGAAATAAAATAATTACTTAAAGCAATATTATAATACATTTGAGTAGAAATGTTATATCACCTTAATAAGTAATAATAATAATAATGTATGGTGGATTAGTCCCGTTATGACAAATTGTGTTTCTCTGCATAAATGCAAATGTGCAATTCTGTTGTTACTGGGCTATGTAGGTTTTGTTGTCCTCTCTATTACAATCATAGCGTATAAGAGTGGGTATAAAACATTAATAACAATGATTAAAAATACTAAAAATTGATAGTATCTAGTACATTAAAAATAATATAATTTCTTTTTCCATTATAATATGAAGACTTTCTAACATTATTTTAAATAATTTTAATTATTCGTATACTTTTAATACTAATTATTTAATTGTTTTTTTTTTCAATTTTTCAAAAACCATTTTTCTCATTAAATTAAATAGAAATAAATATTAAGTATTCATAATTATTCAATAATATTTTTAGACGATAATATATTTTTTTTAATTTTTAGATAATATTCTTCAAATAAATCTGATTGTGAATTGTATAACTAATCAAATACTTATAAAAATCAACTGGCTAGTCCAGTTCTTATTGAAGATATTTCACTAAAAGTCCTGGATAGCTATTAAAAGTGTATAAAACATGATATTTTGATAATCTTCCTATTTCTTCAAGGACATTGCTAAAAACCCCTTGAAGTACTATTATTAAGATAACCTTTCATTATCCTACTGACATAATGAATTGTGTTAGGTTTAATTCAATTTTTAGAAAATTTTAAAACTTATTATATTAAAGTTGTTAGAATTATTTATTAAAGTGTTGTTTTCTTGAGTTGATGTGTTAATATTTCCAGGCAATGTTTTAAATAGTTGAGTTGAATGATTGTTTGTAGACTGTGATGTGTTCGTGTTAAAAGAATTATTAGGTAATACGGAAGTGTCTGTAGATGTGTTGATGGGCTGTTTTATCAATTTGTATATTTTCAGAGTTCAATTTTTTAACAGATTCAATTTCATTATTCAGTATTGAAATGTTTGTATAAGGTGTATTTTTGACGGTGTAATCGAAAGAATATTTTTCAACAATGTATTTTCCAAGTTCAATGAATTATCTATTATTGTGATTTTCTCTATAGAAGTTTTAGAGGGCTCTTTTTCAATTTCAATAATCGAAGTTGTTGTAAATCTATCTTCTCTAAGTGGTTCTTTTAAAATTGAATTATTTCAAATAATAGGTATCTCCAAATTAATACTATGTTTAGTCGAAATCCGGCAAGTATTCATAATAGTTTCTACATTTTCAGTTAAAGTCTTTTTCTTAGAAAGTATCATCTCCAAAAAAGTCTGCAGTGACACAATTGCCAGTGCAATAAACATAACATCTCTGATTACTTGAATCGGAATTATGAAATATATGACCAATGTCGTTATCATGAAAAACAAATCCGAATCCATTTTTTTTTATAAATATATGCACTCAAAATTTGAAATTTTTGAGTTATACTTAGAAAAAAATGTAAGATGTATAGAATTTTAAATATATATACGTACTAAATGATCACGGCCAAAAACTT